GACAAATTTTCTGGATGCAGAATTCTTGGTTGGCAGTCATTTTCTTTCAGCACTTTGAATATGCCATCCTACTGCCTTCTGGTCTTTATGTTTTTTATGAGAAATCAGCTGTTTGATTTATTGAAGAACCTTGTACATGATAAGTCACTTCTCTCTCACTGCTTTCAAATTCTCTCTGTCTTTGGTTGTAAACAGTTTGATGATGATGTCTTAGTGTGGATTTCTTTGAATTTATCCAATTTTGAGTTTATTAAGCTTCTTAGATGTGTAGATTAATGTTTTTCTTCAAATTTGGGAAAGTTTCAAGCATTATTTTTTAAAATATTCTTTTTGTACCTTTTTCTTTTCCCTGTCATCGGATATTCTCATTATGCTTGATGGTGTCCTACAAGTCTCAGAGGTTCTGTTCACTTTTCTTCATTCTTTTTTCTCTCTGCTCCTAAAATTGGATAATTTCCATTAACCTGTCTTCAAATTTACTGATTTTTTTCTTATTCCAGTTCAAATATGCTTTTGAGTCCTTATTGCACTTTTGAATTCCAAAATTTCTATTTGGTATTTCAAAATTAATTTCTATCTCTTGTTTGTTGTTCTATATTTAGTGAGATGCCATTCAGCCACTTTTCTTAGTTCTTTAGACATGGTTTCCTATAATTCTTGGAACATATAGCTGTCCCTCAGCATCTACAGGGTATTGGTTCCAGGCCCCCCACAGATAGCAAAATTTGTGGATGCTCAATTTCTTATATAAAATGGCATAATATTTGCTTATAACCTAGTACACCCTCTCTTACACTTTAAATCATCTCTAGGTTACTTGTAATACCAAATAGAATGGAAATGCTAGGGCCGGGCGTAGTGGCTCACGCTTGTAATCCTAGCTCTCTGGGAGGCCAAGGCGGGCGGATTGTTTGAGCTCAGGAGTTCGAAACCAGCCTGAGCAAGAGCGAGACCCCGTCTCTACTAAAATTAGAAAGAAATTAATTGGACAACCTAAAAATATATAGAAAAAATTAGCCGGGCATGGTGGCGCATGCCTGTAGTCCCAGCTACTCGGGAGGCTGAGGCAGAAGGATCGCTTGAGCCCAGGAGTTTGAGGTTGCTGTGAGCTAGGATGACGCCACGGCACTCTAGCCAGGGCAACACAGTGAGACTCTGTCTCAAAAAAAAAAAAGAATGGAAATGCTATGTAAATAGTCATTATACTTTATTTTAAAATTTGCATTAATTTTCATTGTTATATTGTTATTTTCTAAATGATATTTTTAATCTGTGGTTGGTAGAATACGTGAATACAAAATGCTCACTGTATTTAAATGAGCTGATTTGAAGTCTTTGTCTAATAAGTCCAATATCTGGGTTTCCTCATAAATAGTTTATATTCTGCTTCTCTTTCTGTGTATGGGCCATGCTTTCTTGTTTCTTTGTATATTTCATTTTTTGTTGAAAAGTAGACATTTTAAATAATATAATGTAGCAACTCTGGAAAGGATATCCTCCTCTTCCTGTGGTTTTTATTGTTGTTGTCTTTGCTGGGTTTGTTGTTGCCTCTTATTTATTTAGTGAGCAGGCAAAATACTGGCATCCTCCAAAATGTTCATATCCTAATTCTGGAATACATTATTATATTAGGTTATATCATAAAGGGTTACATAAGGCTACAGATGGAATTAAGGTCTTAATCAGTTGGCCTTAAAATAGGGAGATAGTCCCTGATTATCTGAATAAACCTAATATAATCATAAGGAGCATTTAAAGTGGAAGAGAGAAGCAGAATATCAGAGTGATATGATGGAAGAAGAATGCTCCACATCCCTCCTCCCTGCCAGCCATTGCTGGCTTCAAAGATGGAAGAAATGGCCTCTAAAAGTTGGAAAGGGAAGGGAAGAGATTCCTCTAGAGCCTCCAGAAAGGAATTCAGGTCTGCCGACACCTTGATCTTAACCTAATAAAGCTACGTTGGACTTCTGATCTACAAAACTATAAATATATTGTTTAAGCTACCAAGTTTGAGGTAATTTATTATAGAAGCAAAAGAAACTAACTTTCTTGAACAAATTCAATAAAGGCTGTTTTTACAGACTTTAAAACACTCCTGTGGAAAAGGTTTGTGCAGACACAATTCTGAGTTGAGTTAAATAAAGACAAATCCTGTAAATTCTAAGGAAGGGCCAGATAGGTCAAATAATGACAGTTTTCTCAGAATGGTGCTTTTAGGTATTTCCAAACCTATTCTGCTTCCTCGGTATCTGCTAGACTTCTTTTTTCATTGTGATTATGGGATTATTTTTTTTCACATTGGACTGAGCCAGGGAAGGGGTGATAGGAATAACATGAGTTAAAATGTCAAAAAGTTCACTGGTCTTAATGAGATTTAGCGATTTAGTTTTTTCTTTTCTTTTCTTTTTTTTAATAAACACTTTATGGATTGTTGCAAGTCTTTGGTTGATCTCCAGAGTTCTGAAAAAATTGCTTTTGACAATTTTTCCAGTGTTTTTGTTTCTTTAAAGAAGGAGTGGATTTTTTGAGTCCTTGCTCTGACGGACATTCTTGCTGACATCCAATATTTTTTTCTTTAAGTTCTCTAGTGAAGTGAGAAATAGCCAACCCACTCCATAGCTCTTGTATGTCTTATTCCCATCATAATGTTTTATTGCAGCAGCTACGTAGTCTGTCAAAGCCTTCAATGAGCACTTCAGTCCAGAAGGCTTCAAGTGAGCATTTAAATAACTGTTTTGAAGGAATGTGCCATGAACTGATTGTTTTTCCTTTTCCTTTTCCAGTTGAAAAAGTCAGATAGCCATATTTAAAGGTCTTTTGTCCTCAAATATTGTATTTGTAACCAGAATTCAGTGCAGAAAACAGAAACATCTAGGCATTTCAAACAGGAAGTGTTAATATATGGAATTAGGTGAATACAAAAGGAATTATAGTAGTGAAGGAGGAATAGGTTCTAGGGTGAGTCTCCAGGAACAACTCCCAAAAAACAGAGATCTGGCCCAAAAGGACATCCATCTCTGAGGACAGACTTTGTTTTAGACTTGTCGAAAAACAACTTTGAGTTTTATTGTCTTTTTTGTTTTTGTTTATTTGTTTTCTTTGGTGGTTTTTTCTGCTTTTATTTTTATTATTCCTTTCTTCCTAGCCTCTTTTGGTTTATTGTATTGGTCTTTTTCTGCACTCTGGATTGAAGGCTTAGAACATTTATTTTCACTATTTCTTCATTTTTTAGTGTGTTAGTTAAGGCTTAAGATTTCCTTTAAGTATGTACTGCTTTGGTGACATCCCATAGGTTTTAATGTTAATTAATTTCATCTAAATCTGTGTTTTTTTAAGCCTATACTTTTATCTTGATTTCATTTAATGAGGTTTTCACCCATGTAGATAGCTTTATATTTTTGTTATTGATTTATATTCTTTTAAAAATAGTTTTATTAAATCGTGGTTATAAAAAACTTTATTTATATTTTTGTGTCCTACTATTCTATTTTGAATATATTACATTGACATTTTAAAAAAATGTATATTCTTTGGTAACTATGAATACACACATGCATACACAATCGATGGGTGATTTTATTTTTCTAGTATTTTATTATTTTCTTTCACTCCGCAGTCAAATTCTGAGTAGGACATATTAAAATGTACCGTTTTTAGAGTCTTCAAATATTCCTTGCTTTTTAACAATTTTTGCTTTGTTATTGAATGTGTAAAGCATTGTTATTATAAAGTATTATTCATGAATTGTAGCATTTTAATGAGTACAAAGATTGCTGCTTTGTCATGTTTAATAATTTTTGCTGTGTATACCGGTTTGTCAGAAATTGATGTCAAATTGTTGTATATCTTTGTCCACCTCTTTATTATTAACATTTTTGTGGATTTTTTATTTGTGCTTTTTATCCACTTAGATTTTTAAATTTAAAAAATAATGTTAACCATAGTGTTAACCCACAAAAGTGTTAAAAATCTACCTTTTATAATAAAAGTGCGAAAAAAGTCCATTAAACAAGGAAATGAACTCATTCACATATATGCTCTTGATTTATATATTTAATTTTATTTCTGCCATCTTATATAATTCTAATTATTTTTCTTGTTTCCTTTCCTTCTTTCCCTCTTTCCTGTTTTGGTACATTAATGAGTTGATTGATTATCTGATTATATGTGGAGTGAGAGTCTCTAGTGCATGGGTTAAATTTAGCAAATCCTTAGAATGTATTTTTTTCTATTAACTTCAAATACTAATTTATATCTATAACATCTTCTCCACATAAGACAGAACCTTTAGTTCACTTGTAATTTTTTCATCCTGGCACGCATCTCACGCTCCTTGAGATACTGTTGAAAACAACTGGCTTGATGTTCCAAATTGTTATTCCTTTTGCATTATGCCTCTCAGACTGTATGACTTCCTCCTTCACAAGTACATTAAAATGATAGAGCAGTATTAGCAGTGGTTATTTAAAGTGGAAAGTGTCATTTTCTGTTTTATTTTATGAACAATTTAATTATAAATTTTATATCAAAAGACAACCTGCGAATAAACACACAAAAATTATTCTAACTTCTCTGAAATGATTTAAGACAGTACTGTCCAAAAATAAAGTCAAATATTTTGAGACATATTGTTTTTTTCTTCCCAGGAGTTCAAATACAGTAAATTATTTTCTGGTAAAGGTAATTCATCATTAAACTGATCAGATTAGTTACAATAAAAACCATCCTTCTTTAACTTTCTTTTATGCCTCTACTAATCTACAATTGTAAAGATTTTCCTATCTGGGAACACAGAAATATATGACTTAGAAATTGTATTAAGTTTTTTCTTCATCCTGTTCTTCAATTCTACTTAATAACATACTATTATTCCAAACCTATCAGTGTGTATATCTGAAAGAAACAAAGGTAGGAAAAAAATTGCAATTTCCACTGGGCAAACAATTTCAGTTTAAATATCCTGCTTATGTGAAATAATGATGTGTTTGGGCCTCTTGCAGAACCGCCCCGTCTGGAAGACGCAGGGAAGGTGCTGAATGAGACCGTGGTGGAAAACAGCCCCGTACAGCTCGAGTGCAAGGCGGCTGGGAACCCTCCGCCTGGTATGTTTCAACCCTGTACCCTATTCACATTTTAAGATTTCTGGGAATAACCGAAACCGGTTGTGAGCATAATATACTAATTACTAATAAAGGAAAGATTATAGGATACATTCCAAGAGTAAAACGTTGGTAAGAATGTAAGAATTAGGAAGATGACATTTTTGAATTTTCATTGATTTTAACTGCATGAAATAATTTGTCCATCTAAACAATGTAGAAATATTTGACTGTCTTAATCATATTGTTGTCCATAGTGGCCACAAAACCCACAAGGGTATTTTACATACATTTATGATGAAAAATATATTTTTAACTTTTAAAAGTATCTTAATGAAGCTAAGCCAAATTGTCATTCTGATGAGAGTACCACTTCGTTTTGTATATTCCCATCACTGCTAGGTTATTCATATGAATCAATAATAATATAAATTTTTTGAGGCTGATAGTGTGTATGGTATTCAGGTTTTTTTGTTTGTTTTTTTTTTTGGTATTTAGTTTTGATTAAACACATACACAACTCTTATAGGTGCAAAGAAATACACAACAAAAAGAAATAAGTTAAAAGGCTGCTTATCAAACAATACTGATATATTAGAGATACTATAAATAATTTCTTTTTTCTAAATTCATTTTCAGGACTCATATCGACTTGGCTCTTGGTGTTTTTCTTAGGATTGCCTTCTCTTAAAAATCAACCCTAAAGAGATATTTGTTTAAACAGATTACACTCAAATGATAAGTGTAGGAATAAAGCAATTGTGACTATTTTAGTTAAGATCCTATTTAGTGTATTTAATTTTAGAATAACAATTTTGCATAGATCATCTCTCCCCTTTCCCTTTCAGTTATTACATGGTACAAAGAGAATCGTCCACTGTCAGCTTCCGCCAGCATGAGTTTCTTGAACAGAGGGCAGATCCTTGCTATAGAAAGTGCCCAAGTATCAGATGCTGGCCTGTATAAGTGTGTGGCCATTAACTCAGCTGGAGCGACAGAGTTGTTTTACAGTCTGCAAGTTCATGGTTAGTACCACTTCTCCTAGATTCATCCTGGGGTAAAGAAGTATTCAAAATGATTAAGTGCTTCTGTAAAATTCTAGTCTAAATATTTGGCAGAGTGTGTTATTATCATCTCTATGGAAGGGTGCTGTGTTCTAAGACTGATAAATGTTCTCATTCCTGATTCCCATTAAAATGCTCGATTTTCACATGCCATTGACTTAAGTTTGCTTTAGATGAGTTGTTGAAATTGTCTTTGATACTCTTATTAGCTAGTGACAATAAACCCGTTTGTAAATACTTTCTAACAGAATCATAGTATTAGTTAAAGGAATGTTTCCAAGTTATTATCTCTAATAATTCTTTTAAAGATGAGTCGGTAGTTAACATAGTACAGCAGATACAGTGACGGGGGACACACGTGTGTATGCTTCAAAATCAAGAAACAAAAATCCATCCTGGCATTAAAAACTGGATTTCCTAAATAAACTAGCAAAACCTTCTTTTCCTCATCTCAAAAACAGAGATATTGATCCTTGCCCTACTAATCTCACAGAATGCTTCTGCTGAGATCTCAAATGAGTTGTGAAACAACTTACCGAAAAACAAATAAACAAAAAACCCGCCTGTAAAAACACATTATTGTGGACATTACATATAGTTTTCATCATGTTGAGATGGCAAAACCTGTGAGGTTAACGTATCTCACTTTCTTTTTTTTTTTCAGTGCCCCCATCAATTTCTGGCAGCAGTGACATGGTGGCCGTGGTGGTTAATAATCTGGTGAGGTTAGAATGTGAAGCCAGAGGCCTCCCTGCCCCAAGTCTGACCTGGTTGAAAGATGGGAGCCCTGTCTCTAGCTTTGCTAATGGAATACAGGTACTCTGTTTCATTTCTTTGGTGAAAACTGCCACTCGATGATTCAATACATAAGTACAAACCAGTAAGGCTGTTGAAAAGATTTGGAGAACAAGGATTCACAAATGTTATAAAAAAACATACATAGATGCAACTGTAAGTACCACAGATACACAATTAGTATTCCTCAGCAATTCATTAAAAGCTCAGTATTTCTAAGAGTACCTGTACCTCACTTGTAGCTGTTATATTTGGACCGTTTGTTTTAGATATTTGTTATTTTCTCCCTGTCTCACTCCACTTTGTACTATTACCACAAGAGAGACTTCATACAAAGAAATGGTCATCAACAAAAACAAGAATTTCCTGGTGGAATTTATATTTAAGTGTCTGGAAATAATAATGAAGCAGAGAAACACACAGAGCATACATATTTCTGTGAAAACATCAAATAATAAAGAAAAATTATAATGCAAAAAACATGAAAAATAAAATTGAGTCTTAGAAAACACTTGTTTAAGTGTATTACATTGACTCAAAATTAAACCTATGGACAGAGCACGTATATCTAATTTAGAGTTTAATTTTATTTTGCCTCACAGAGAACATAGTTCTCCTAACATCCTACGTCTTCAACTTTGCTTGAAAATCCAATGCTTTCAGAATTTGAGATCATAGAAGATCCAGAGCTTATGTCAATATTTTAGAGAAACACCTGAATCAGTGGGATAAAAGGACAATCAATGTGGCTAATTAATTAACTTGGCTACTACTTTGTTGTTAATTTTAACTTCCTGCCTCTTGATCCAAACAAAAATTAGAAGCCACTTATCTTTCTCCCCTTGTAGCTCTCTCTCTCTCTCTGTATAGTAAATATGGATGAAATTTAACTTTCACTTGGTGCTGTCTATAAAGACTTATTTTCAGTGGTCGTTACCAAGTTTGGTTCTAGCCTTGCATGTTCTTGCACTGAGACAAGAAGGGATTGTTCCGCGAGCAGGGAAGAGGGTGCGCCGACTGCATCCTGAGTGTTGGGTGGTCAGCTCAGTCTGGAAAGGTCATTCCAGTAGCCCTGCAGGAGGAGAAGGGCCTTGGCCTCTGTGTCAGGAGTGGACGAAGGGTGAAAGGGGGAGGAGAAGCTCCAGGTGGGTGGTTGGGGTCTGGGACAGCAGGCCCTCTGGGGGGAGGCTCTGGGCAGGGTGATGGGCCTTTCCCTTCTGCATCCAGGACGCTGTGCGTGTGAGCACGTAGAGCACAGTGCACTGGTGTGTGTGCTGGAGGAGGTGAGGGCTTTGGGCTTGGGCTTGAATCTGGCCTGCACTGAGCAGACTCAGCCTCTCTGGGCCCCAGGCCACCCCTCACCTGCTCTGCCTTCCGGAGCCTCGGGTGCCTGGAAAGTGCGGTGATAACGACACCTGCTCAGGTGCCTCGGGCTGTTGTGAGGGCGAGCTGGGATGTTGCATCGCTCAGGGCGCACGGCAGATCTGATCCCTCCCCACAGGGTAGTCTATAAGTTTGGTGTGGCCAGGCCCAGCCCAGCAGAGGGCCCTGCCCAGGGAAGCCCCCATGGATGGCAGGGCCTGGCCTTCGTCTCCACGGCCCCCATTCAGTGGACGTTACACCAGTGACTTGCTGGGCTATGGGAGGAGGGGAGATTGAGGTCACTGAGTCTAGCTTCCGTTACTGGCAGATGGAAACACCATTAGCAAAAGCAAGGAATAATGGAGTGAGGGACCAGCAGGCTTTGGGGAGGAGAGTCCTGCACGGAGTCAGGACGTGTTCGAGTTCTGATTCAGTCAGCACCACACTTGAGTGTGGTATTCTACGGTTCCATGCTGCTGTGGATACAGCTCGTCTGCCACCAGGCAGAGGGGACTTCCAAAGGTGATTACTGGGGGCTTCAGTAGAGGAGCGTGAACCCACATTCTTGCCCAGATGATCTGAGGACGAGCTACGGGTGCTTTGCTCTGGTTCCTTCTTGGACTTCGATGGTGGGAGGACCCTGCAGTGGGATCATTCCCAAGCCCCTCGGGTCAGTCCTGCTTTAACTAATCCTATGCAGGACACAAAGGGGGCAGGTGCTCTGTGTGAATGGGGTAGGGGCCTGAGCCTTGGTTACAGATGATGACAGATGCTCGTTCGTGTGGCGCTTGGCAGCCTCGGAGTCCTGGACATCACTCTTGTCCGAGCACGGTCCACACAGGGTGGTGAGAATGTGAAACCCAGTGCGGCCCCAGCCCTTGGAGCTAGCATCATTTATTTTTTTGTGGGAACAAAGGAATTAATAGAATACCACGAGTAAAAAGTTGGGAGAAAGCGAAGGAGGAAACCAAGAGTGAAGAGGAGGGAAAGTTGGGACAAATCCTGGGTGTCTGGGTGCCTGGTGCTCTTGACACAGGGTGGGTGGCAGTGATGACACTAACCCCCACTGCGGCAGGTCAGGTGGCCTCACACATCCTGGCCGCAGGACTCAGCATCCCCGTCGCACAGAGAGCAGGACCTCGTGGTGTGCTGTGCTCAGCCCTCAGAGCGCCTGCCAATTGTCACCATGTCCACTGCCGCCGTGGTGGTGTCGTGCTGTTTGAGAGCAGCATTTCCTCCCTCCTGGTTCTGGCAGCAGGGATGGATAAGAAAACACTTGAAAAACCATATCCTCGAGAAATGAAGTGTACTAAATGCTTGGTCCCCTCGATCTCCGCATGGACCCAAACGTGCTGCATGTAAGGGTGGGACTCTGATGGCATCTGTGGGCAGGAGAAGCTGACGGAGCGCCACAGCGAGCTTCTAGCTTAGGAACCGGGTCACAGCCCAGTGAGACTGCAATGGCCTCAGTGGCCCCACCGGTGCCAGGGGGTCATTCCTGGGACTTCGTTCCCTCTGCTGAAGTGTGCATGCGGTTTGCTAAATATTAAAACATGTGGTTCAGAAAAAAAAAAAAAGAAGGGATTATATGGTGATGGCTGCCCACTTTAAAATATCCAAGTGAAAATCATCCTAGAGGAAAATGTCAATTATCAGTCTCAGAAAATAAGAGAAAACATCTGTTGCACCTACCATTCTCAAGGGGGCATGTTGGTTATTTAACTTTCTTATTGTTGACAGGTTCTCTCTGGGGGTCGCATCCTAGCGTTGACCAGTGCACAAATCAGTGACACGGGAACATACACCTGCGTGGCAGTGAACGCTGCTGGGGAGAAACAAAGGGACATCGACCTCAGAGTGTATGGTGAGTCGTTCTAGTAATTACTTCTGCTCTGATATAGATGTGTTTGGGGCCTAAGATCATTGAGGAAGTTAAGGGAAGTTATTGACAATAAAGAAAGGTGAACAATAAAAATAATAACTATAGGATCAATTTAAATCAATTTCTCTTTCTGCCTTACATTTGACTTTCACTGATTTTCCTTTTTTAAAGTTCCGAGAAATTAAAATATATACATCCAGCATGCAGAGTGTGGGCTTCACAGACTACTCTGAAGCACATGACTATGGAATAGCAGCTCTGCAATTTGGAAGACAGAATCTTCTCACTGAGGGCAAGCGTCTGTTTAAGTAGCTTTCTTCATCCATCCTAGCTGGGCACTACAGCCACTCTCATGCCTGTAATCCCAGCACATTGAGAGGCTGAGGCAGGAGGATCACTTGTGGCCAAGAGTTCTAGACCATTGTACTGAAAGCCATGATTTTATTACTTTTTAATTATATTTATAATCAGTGTATTTTGTGATCAATACTATGTCTATGAGTTAAATACTATCTAAGAAACAGAAAGTTAAACTCAACATAAATTTAGACAAAATACAAGTTTTTTCCTACCTACAATGCAGCCATGTGGTACAAAAGGGAACATCTGAGTCTATCACAGTAGAAGTCCCCCAGAACAAAGGTGGATTCTCATTGACCTCCATTCATATATTATGCTAGTCAGTCCACATTCCAGTATACCTTTACATTTAGAACTCTTTCAGACTTTTTTCAGTGTATTATTTGCATTATATTGCTTGGTTCATGGAATAATGAAATTATTTCTTCTATGGCCTCTTGAAGAATTTCTGTTTAGTGCAGGCCTTCTCCTTCTCACTTCAAAGCAATTCACTCCTGTTTGAAATATATTATCTTTTTTTTTAACCTCCAGATCATGTGGACCATGTTGGTTTCCCTTTATATGTTGACCAAAAGCAAATGTAATGATCACAAATGACATATATTGTCAGATTTTTTTTTTAGTAGAAAGGCCCCTTGCTACAACACGTACAGATCATACATAACTAAAGTAAAAAGTCCCAGTTGGCATCAGTACACTACCAAAGGGCTCTCCATGCCTTTTTTCCCATTGCTACTGAAATTGATGTGGGTCTACATCCAACCTCCGGATTTGCTGATGTGTGATAACCATGCCCAACCCCAAGAATTCTAACTTCTTCCCTGCATTGGGTCACTTTTATGCTTTGTTAAGAACTGAAAGGCTTCTATTCTAAAATATCCTTTGAGAATGATTAATCAATAAATCAAAGTATGTGACACAAAAACTCTATCAGTCATTAGCAAGGAAGTAGAGAGGTGACATCACTATGGGCTGGGTTTTAGTCATCACTAAAAATCTGGGATTGTCCCCATAAGTTTCTACATTGACTAGTGTGAAAAGTGGACTCAAGAGATTATAAAGAGTTGATATTTTCCAAGAGTTACAGAGACATGCATCACTTTCTTTATCATTTGCTAAAATACTTCCATACAACCTCTTTAGGCTGAAAACCAGGATCTTTCTTCTGGTATAAAAGTCAGATGGCTAGCTGATACGCATGTTTGAGAATGTGTGTATGTGTTTAGCATTTGAAATATATATGTACCAAGCTACTGGAAAGGTGTAAAATTAAAACAGGCTTTAATCTAAAATCAGTTTCCAATCAATACTCCATTATTAGTATTAGTTCCATAAATTATATTTCTGTATTTGTAATAATAACCTTGACAATCTTGTGTCTAATTGGAGCCTAATGAATTAATCCCCACAGGTAAGTCACCTGCAGATTTACATTGCAAAGAGTGTGTATGTGGGGGCAGGTGGTATAGTACAAAGATGAAATAGTGGATAAAATAGCCTTCCCTACAATAATAAGAGTAGTTCATTAAAAACTTTTCTCCCGTGTATAAATTCAGAGCATGTTTTCCCATATTTCTGAGACACCAAAACAAGAGAATTGAGTTTTCAAAAGGTTTGGATCTCTGCAATACCTTTTCTTTAAACTTAAGCTCAGAGAACTTCCTTGAAGATCACACATTCTTCAGCATCCCAGCAAACATACCCCTATGGCAATTCTGATTTTGGTAAAGGAATTTAACAAGTATGATGCAGAGGATGAGAAACAGATCCCAGAATACACCCCTTCCTAAGCAACATAACCACACACACACACACACAAAAAAATAGGGATAACATCTGAGGAAGCTGAGGATCTAAAGGGTAGAACCTTCTTCCCATCTCAGACTAAACAAAAAGTTGGAAATGAGAGACAGGGCAGAGAAAAATAGATGTATTTGGTAAAATATATCCTTAGCTGTAATTAGATGTGCTTCATTTTTTTGTCCCTTAAACAAATACTCTATTGCTTTGGCATTTTTTCTTAGTTTTAAAAATCCATTTTCCCTTTGGACTTGATTCAACTCATTTAGCTATAAAGGAAATTAAGAGAAGGAAAAATGTTTGTAAATAAATTAGTATTCTGCAGTCCAGAATTGTTTCCAACTTTCACTTTTGCAGGCAATCATAAAGAATTCATGCTCTTTTCTAATTCTACAAATAATCTAAGATAAACATTTTTTTACAGTTGTGGTTTTTTTATTGTCCAAATGAGACCATACCCTTACCTGAAATTATTTCCAAGCTGTGAAATCAGCTATTCTATTTAGGGGTCCTGTGCTAAGACTTGTGAATGTATCTGTTTTCATATTTTAGAAGGTGGCACTAATTGTGCTTATTTTGCTGTTTTTATAGCAGTTTTAATCTCAAACAGACTAATTGTGTATCTTTTATCTAATGTGTCACATATCAAAAACAATCCCACCGTTTTCTGTTCCCCACAGATTACTTTAACCTTATCAAGAACCAGATGTCTGTGTGCTATTAAATTTAACAGAAGGAACATCATGAATCTCTGCACAAATGTTCTATTTTTCAGTCCCAGCCATTGTTCGGAGTATTTCTTCCTCTAGCATCAATTCCTATGGGTTTAGCACAAGTCCTGCACCCAGAAAAAGCACATGAAAGTGCCCTTTAGATATCCCTTTCCCTGTGTGGTAGATATGGTAGCAGAGAAATCTTGTGATTACAGAAACACAATGCTACTGCCGTAGTCAAAGTCTATTGCATTCATTGTCATCCTACCACACGCTGGGTTATCAAGCCTGAAACTGTGGCTAATAGACTATAATAATATTCCTTACCACAAAAATCTTGTTTCTACCAAAGCATTTGCAAAGTCCCTTAGGATTCATTTCAAATCAACTTAATCTTTCTTGTAAAAAAAAAAAAAAATGCTACAAATATGTTAAGTTTCCTACAATCCTGAATAGTTATGGGATTTAATGAGAAATGGCTAAGGAAATTCCTCTCTGTGCTTTGTTGAGTGGCCCTTTTATAACAGGCCTGATTTCATCATTACTTTGTGTTTTCTGAATTATTATATATACAGTCCTGAAAGGGTCCTCGAGAGCTTGTGGAGCCCACCCTCTCATTCTTGGCAGGGCTATACCTAAACCATGTAAGACAAATGATTGTTTACTCTATTCTTTAATACACCCAAGGGAAGGAGATTCCTTAAATTTCTCCGAGAACACATTTGAGCATCTGACAAGCTTTGTAGCCAGGGAATTTTAGTTTTAATCTCATTAAAATTTCAACTCATTTCCTCTTTTTATGTATGCTAATGTGTATGTTTTACAGCTGGTCATTTATCCTACATGGTCTTCATTCCATAGAAAGTGGACAAGGCACCATGGAAACCAAAAAGAACACTAAGCTGCAAGTCAGAAGACTCCTAGCCTTGTCATTGATTTGTCATATTATTTTGCACAAGCTATTATCTGTCACCCATTTTATGTCTTGCACACTATGAGATGGAACAAGATGAGCTCTATGATCTCTTCCAACTCTATTTTTTGATTTTGCCTCTGTGACTATGAATTTATTTCTTTTACAAAAAATATAAATAAATATTGAAAATGTGTTTGCTTTTAATTCATTGTTGTTTCCAAAATATTTCATAAGTGATTCATTACTTTGAAAACCTTAAGCAGTAACATCTAGTTCTAGAGGTTTCTTACTTGGGCACTTGGTGAGAACTTCCAGTTCTAAAAATTTTTTTAAATGAAAGTTTAGTGAGAACTATTTTTGTTCATGGGAATATGGTAATCAGTGATTTATTGACACTTGATTCTAACCAAATCATGGAAAGAAGTTATGTTAGAATGATTGTGATCCTACATCTTAAAAGAACTAATAAAGTTATTCAGTATATGTCCTGATGATTAATGAAGATAAACAGTGTACTGGCCTGTTTTATCCTAAAAGAAAACCCACCTTTCACTTAGCTCCACCAAATATTATGGGAGAAGAACAAAACGTCTCTGTCGTCATTGGCCAGGCTGTGGAGTTACTATGTCAGAGTGATGCTATTCCCACACCTACTCTTACTTGGTTAAAAGATGGCCGCCACCTGCTGAAGAAACCAAGCCTCAGTATCTCTGAAAATGGAAGTGTGTTAAAGGTAAGGATATAGATTTATTTATTTCATTTTGTATTATTCCTAAGCTCGTGGTTTCAGTATTATCCTTATTAAATTGGCTGGCTTTTACAAATGTTCTACTAATTTCACCTTATAAAATTCTAGGAACCCTTTTATTGATGAGATTTCTAATATTTTTAATTTTTATGCTTAGTGAAATTTAAATATTTAATTGTCTATCCATATCCAGAGGCCATCTCAAAAAGATGCTTCTAGGAAAATATTATAGAAACAGTCTAAGCAGTGCCTCAGCTTCAGTCACTCAACCAGTCAGTAAATACCCATTTTAGGTACCCTGGATAAGAATGCAAAAAGTATGACACATATCATGTCCTTGATGCCTTCCACCTTTGCATAAATATATGAAAAATTAGCTAACAGTTTAGTTGAAAAATGCAGTAAGTGCTATAAGTCTGAGTCAATTACCAAGTGGATGGTACAGACAATATATTTTGAAGGGATAGCAAAAGAGGCTCTAGTTGCCTGGAACTGTTTTGGAAGACTATTTAGCTTTTCAAGGGTAGATAAAACAAAAAGCTGGATTAAGGCAAGCAAGTATGGTAGTTTGGCTGAAACAAAGAATTTAACAAAGTGAATATTTGGAAATAATGTTGATAAGGTTAATTTGAGTGAAATATGAGCTGACATTGAAAGCTAACCTATGGAATTAGGATTCAGAAAGCCAAAAGGCCACTGAATGTTTATAAAATCCTTGTAATGACCCAACTGAGAAATTGGAAGACTAGCTGAATAATCTGGCCATAGTTACTAAGAGGCATAAGTTGGATTAGAACACAAGGAGTATAGCTTTAGAACTCATACTACTAACTACCCCATAGCCTCTTGGTAAAGGAAGGCTATTACTGGTAAACAAAGAGAATCTTGAGAAATGGAAGGTGGATGTTGGTATACAGGAAGGTCAGTAAACTGAGCTGCTTCCCCTAGGAGAACTGAGGCACAGGGGTGAGTGGAAGGGAGCATGAAGGTATATGTTAGAGACAAGGATGGAGATCTTGGGAATTATGATCCTGTGATAATGGAGCTGGGTGAGAAATGAAAGACCTTTCATCAGAATCACCAATGAAAGAAAGAATGATAAGCCAATTTGAGATACATAGGGAAAAAGAAGAAAAGAAGCCAAAGCACTGCCCATGCTTAGAGGCAGAGCCCTGCATTCTAGAAAGTACCTGGTCACAATCTCAAACTTTAGTTTTGACTGAATGACAGGAGACATTTGTATCAGTGCAAATCTCATTGAGTGTAAGTTCAGTTCTTCAGGTGATGGTGAAGAAATCCTGGGATCCATTGATCTCTACCATGGAGACTGGCCAGGTCCCATTGAAGGGGGTAGGGAGAAGACCCGTGGAATGAAAATGTCTACAGAACTCAAACCTGACTGGTCAGATTAAACTATTTTACCTATGCACTATCATTCACATACACCTTTAACCAGATCAAGTAATAGAATCTCACCATTTTATTTATCCTGGAACACACTAGGCACTCAATAAATATTAATCCCTCCTCTCTATTCTACACCCCACCCCACTCTCTTTATGAGACTTGCAAGCCTATGCTCATAGACTTTAAGGGCTTGGAACCCCAGATTTGAGTGGGTCTGCCACTAATTATGTGACTGAGCAAGTTAGATCTCTTAATTGATTCTGAGTTTCCTTATCTATAAAATGAGGAGGTTGGATTTTAAGTACCTTTTCAGGTCTAATATTCCTTAGTTCTCCACCTGTACTTTTATCTAATTCTAGCTCCGTTGTTCACATCAATTGATTTATAGGTGTTTATTGAATGCCTGCTGGGCACCCTTGCTATCCTAAATACTTCTAATGATAACTCCAACTCCAATGATTCTCCCTCTTTTGAATGTTTTAGAAATTAATGACTGCAAACTTATTTGGCAATAAGTCACATAGTGTTTATTGTAGTTCTTGT